CGCCGCCACCGTGGCCAGCGGCACCTCGAGCTGCATCACGAGCAGGGCCGGGCGCTGCTGCTGCTGCTGCTGCTGCTGGTCGTTGCCGCTGCCGCCGCTACCGCTACCGAGGGCAGACTCGACGGCGGCGGCGGCGTCGAGCGCGTGGTTGGACTCGGGGCTCAGGATGATGCGGTTCTCGCCCGTCGGCTCGTCCACCACGATGATGGCGAGCCCCGTCTTGGCCGGGGCCGGGCGCACGGCCACGCCCGACACGTCGACGCCGTGCGCCGCCAGGTTGTCGCGCAGCTGCGCCCCGTACGAGTCGGCCCCGACTGCCCCGACCATGCGGACGGCGGCGGTGGCGGCGGCAGTATCGTCGCTGCTAGTGCCGGGCCGTGGGCGCGAGAGCTTGGCGCACGCCACGGCCTGGTTGGCGCCCTTGCCGCCGGGCGACACGGCAAAGGAGCTCGACGTCAACGTCTCGCCCGGCAGCGGGTGGTGCGGCACGTACGACACCAGGTCCATGTTGAGCGACCCCAGCACCGTGATGAGGGGCAGCGGCGTCTGGGCGGATGGTGCCATTGTCGCGACTGGGTGTGTTTGTGCGACCTGGGAGGGAGTGTGCAAAGATGTTGATGGTCTGACAAAAGTCTCGAGGGAAGACTGAATCAACTCTTTTTTTTTCCTGTGCTCGTTTGCGAGCGAGCGCCGTTCCCTCGTGATCCCCCAGGCCTGCAAAGTGGAGCGGATGTCGGTTTAGCTTCTCCACTGGCCAAGCCGGGATTCGATTTATTGAGGCTCTGTGAATCAACGACATGACAGGCAGATATGGGTTCACAGCCAAACTCGCAGGGGTTGGGTCGTTGTACTTGGGTAGTTGAGCCGAGCATTAGATGCCTGCGGAATGGTGGCACAAACATGTTGTATTACACTCAAACTGAACAAAAGTCGCAACAAGCAACTCTCGCTCGTTCCCAAATCATGTTTCAAATATCAAACCCAAATGGTATATCCCAAACAGAAGCCGCACCTCGGGCTTCTAAAAACTCCGTTGTGTGCCTTGTTACTATTCCCAAGCAGGCCACCAGCTTGACGCAAACAGAATGAGACAAAGGGGGAAAAAACCATGGCAATAGTAAAAAAAGGAATATTCCATACAAACACGCAACCCGCACACAGCTCCTTCATTCAGACAGCTTCTTCCTCTTGCTTGGCCGCCGGCGCTCATCTTCCCCGTCCACAAAGTGCCTCTTTTCGATCTGGTGCTGCCTCAAATTGTCTGGCCGGTTCTTGTACTGGCTCGAGCAGCCGGGGTATTGGCACTTGTAAATCTTGGGTGGCGCCGCCGAATGCTGCAGCTTCTTGTGCTTCGCCATGCTCCCCTTGAACCACTGTGGGTCTCCCTTGGGACGATAGCCGCAGATGTCGCAGCAATCGTTCGCCTCGGTCCGCGCCAGCGATGAGGACGAAGATGCCGCCGTGGGCGCAGACTCGGAGGAGGAGGATGATGGCGAAGTTGTGGGGGACGAAGATGAGGACGAAGAGGAAGCACAGGCGGCCGGACCTGACCGAGGGGGCTGGGTGGCTTGGAAATCTTGTCCGGTCGTCGAATCACTAGCCTCCACCCCAGATGCCGATACCAAGGCCACGTCCTCGCTCTTCATCGACTGCTCCGCTACACCCAATCCAGAGAAGTCCATGGTGGCAGCATCAAGATCGAACGGGAAAACGAGGCCATCCGCCGTACCGTTGGTCATGCATGGAGCGATAGACTTGAAGAATGCAGGGTCCAGTAACAGAGCGTCGTCGACCGTAGGGGGTTGCTGAAATAGGGCGGCTGCTGTCCGGCTCGAATCCAGGTCGGCAATCATGGCATCAAAAAGCGCGATTCCGCATTTGTGGTATGCTGCCCGCTGCGAGGCCACTGCTCCATATTTCAGGTAGAGGCGGTCACAGAGATGTCCAACAGCCGAGGTAAACTCGTCGAAATAAACACCAGACGGTAGGCATATCTGTAGGGAGGGACGGTGTTAGATGGGCGAATTCAACGAGGTCTTGGGATGAGGGCGAGCAAAAAGCAAGTCAAGGCCTTACCTTTCCGGCTTGCAGCACCTCTAGCTCGAGTCTGCGCACGGTTACGATCAACCCTGAACCAACCCGATGAGTAATATCCTCCAAGAAGACGAGAAGGTCGGCCGAATGACTAAATCGCTTCGCTAGTTTCGAGAGCACATTTCGAGCAGCTGCGGTAAGCGTGATGCTGGGATCTTGCTTGGCCGCGGATTCCTGCAGGTGTTTGGCACAGAGATTCGAGCTGGCAACCTCTGGGAATGCCGAGGGCAAGTTGAGTATTACAGAGCATTCGAGATCTGGGAGCAGTGGTTGAGATGAATGTCAGCAAAGTCTTGGGAAACTCGCCCACAAATATCCATGGGCTAAACCGACCGTCGAGAAAGTTCCTGGCGGTGCAAATGAGCGGATCCTCCTGGTACGGGATATGGCGGGAAAGGTCGTCGGATCTCTCCTTTCCTTTCTGACTGGGAGTGCGCCTGATGGATGCGTATTGTCTCAATAACCCTTGGCTGAGGTCTGTCTTGGACAGGTCGGTTGGTTGCCAGATCACGGCAGCGAGCTGGTTATAGAAAGGTTTTGCCTGTTCGGACAGGGCTGTTGAGTATACAAGTGACTGGACATAGAGCTGGCTGCAGCGCACCGCCACATCGTTGTCGCGATACACTATGACCGAGAGGGCATAGGTGACATGCATCAGACAGAGTATGCCAGTAGGGGAGGTCGAGAGACGGCCGTCGAGGAGTGCTTGAAGAGAGTTGAGCCCGTGCCGGGCAATGGTTCGGGGCGACAGCGTACGAAGATGGTCGGCAAGGGGATTGTTGGTGACGTTCTGAATCTTCATCTGCGAGCAAGCGACGTGCTCAAGCAATGCATCCCATGTGGAACCGACGATGGCTCTCGTGCTGGGCTGTGATGCCGTCGGGGGTTTGCTTGGGGCTGTGGTTTGGGTGGTAGCGGGTCGTGGCAAGGGGACCTTGGGAGGAGCCTGAGCCAGATTGAACGCATCTATCAAAGTAGATGGAACGGCAACATGCGAGGCCTCCACCATCCTCTCAGGATCCTCATCAGTTATGACCAAATCGGCCGCATGCGAGCTTCCTTGCTCTCCCGAGTACAAGGCTGTATCACGGGCAAACAGAAGGGGATCCGACGACAGGTTTGCTGGGGCGACTTTGGTCTCGGGAATGTCGGCAGGGAGTTCGAATATGGTATCCAGGAGACCAGGCGGACAGGTGTTTTCGAAGAAGGCCCCCGTGGTATCCTCGAAAGCCATGTCATCGGGCAAGAAGCCAGCTGCGCTGATGAGATCCTCGGCCGGCGAGGTCAAATGCTTTGCTAAGCCCGACCACATATCCGAGTCGTTGCTCCAAATAGATGCGGGGGAGATGAGCGAGCTCACGTTGCTTGTGGCGCTCGCCATGCTTGTGTTGCTCACAGTGCTCGTCGTGCTGGTCGTGCTCGTTGTCGACCGAACCGAGGAGCTCGGGGAAAGGTCTTTGCTCCGAGATGTCGGCGGGGCGGGGTTCGGCCGCGGCCGCACCATCTTGCGATACTGGGGCAAGTCATGTGTGTTGACCTGGAGTGGAGGATGCTGGATTGGACTCCCAAGAGGGCTCACCCCGCCAGCATCCAGCCAGTGGACGGGATGATCTAAAAGCCCCGGACATACTGCATGGTCGGGGACAGCCGTGATGTCTGGGGGCTGCCAGTTCATAAACGAGTCGTCCACTTCCATCTCCGTACTCGACTCCAGCTCTGGAAGACTCAGTACCTGGGGGTTGACGACGTTGGGCTGCCCGGCCTCTTCCGGTGGGGCGTGGGTTCGTATTGACGGTGCCGGGTCTTGTGCCAAAGGATGTGATGGCGAGACGACTTCGGTCGAGTCGATCTCCAGTATCTCAGTTCCGGAAAGTTCAGCGCCGGCCAGGGGGTCGATATCTGGCAGGTCGTTGACACAAATCAAGGACTGGCTCCCGCCGACACCAAAGTCCGAGTCGGAAAGCGTCCCTGATACGCCGCCCTTGCGACCCTTGTGGCCGAGCGACGAGAAGAAGCTTTTGGCCATGACGATCATCTTGCGGCGCTTGGACGAAGGCTGGCTTAGACAGCGCTTGCTGCTTTTTGCGTCGTCGAAGCGCTCCACCCTCATGTGCTCATAGCACCAGTACTCGCAAGTCCCCAGGTGGTCGCATGAGGCAAGATGCCGCAGCATCCTCTCGTGGTCGCCGAAGCGTTGACGGCATCGAAGCAGCGGGCACTCGAGGCGTTCGCTATCCGTCATGCGTTCGCACTCATTCCGCTTGACGGCAGCCCACGTTATGAAGCGGTACCGCGCCGAGTCCCCGAGCGCAGTCTCTCGGGCACTACCGAGACGCCCACGATTAGATCATTATGCCATGGCAAGCATGCATGTCGACGGTATGGATGCCCGTGGATTATGGGTGCACTTACACACAAGAGCCGTCCTCGGTGACAACAGCAGATGCCGATGAAGATGTAGATGTTGAGCCTGAAGACCCTGAGGACATGGATGCCCTCGACGATGACAGCGATACCCTCCTCAGGCTGAAGCGGCCGCTCGGGGCAGGCGACAGGGCGCGGGCCGTCGAGAGGCCGGCCGGGTCGGCCCGATCAGAGGGGGCGAGAGTCCTCTTGGACTCCATCGCGATGAGATCCTCGAAACAGCTTCAACAGCCTCGAGCCAACAGCGAGGCAAACCGTGGCCGAGGTTGTTGCCCCACTAGGTCTCTGCTGCTTGCCCTAGTGCTTCTCGTGACGCACTTCAAGGCCGGGTTGTCGATGGCCTGGCGAGAGTTGAATGCGGTATCGGCTTTCACGGGGCAAATCGGCGGGCCGGATGATCGGACGAGTAGTGGTAGCTTCGGCGGCGCGGCAGTGACAAGACAGACGGCGGCTGTCTTTGGCTTCCCCAACAGACAGGCGAGGCAGGGGGGTGGTAAAAATGAAAAAGAGCAAACAGAGCAGGTCCGGTCACAGCAGCATGGCGTCCAGGTATGTATTTTGGTTTTATCACTCAGCCGCCATCTCAGCTCAGCCGGCAAGGACGGATCCTCCTCTTCTGCCTGGGAAGGAAAGGCGGGCACCCCAAGGCTCTCGCGGTCAGGGATCTGAGCAGAGCACGGATTGCGACATAATCCGGGGGGACTCTCGGATCAGCGTCGAGGCTCTCTGGCTGTGTTGGCGCAGCAAGCAAAGGTTTACGGGCGGGACACTAACTTGGTCCTAGGAAGGACCTGTTTGGACTGCTCTTGGCCGAGCCGCCCCATGTGCAGATGACAAAGTGAGGAGCCCTAAAGGCGGGCGAGGTCGCGGCGGCTTGTTGGCGTGGCGTGCACGCGGCGGAACGAACAGATGGGGCCTCCCGGTAGGACTTTTGTGTCCCGTTTGCTGTAGGACTAGAGGCTGGGGCGAAGGAGAGCCAATCAATTGGCTGCCCAATTGGCTGCCTCTGGGTCCCCAAGGCCTGGCCGTCCTGCAGCTGAGGTGGATGGTGGGGGGGTCTTGTGGCTCTGGTTCAACGGCACTGCCCGGCAGCCTCGACGCGATGGAAAGCTTGGTGGCTGCAGCTGGCACGCCGCCAGACGCTTGGTCAAGGAGCCTTTAGTTGATCGTGCAGCCAGCCGGTAGCCATAGGACAGGACTTCACTTCAATTCACCAATCGACAAAGATAAAGCCTCTGGATAGGAGGGAGGTACCAAAGTACCGAGGTTGGAAGCACGGAAGGCCTGTGGCTGGGGCAATCACACCAACTGTCTTAGCTCCGCCTGGGTTGTAACGGTAGCCAATGATCTGGCTCACCGCTAGTAGGTGGGCCACAAGGCAGAATCTGCCTCTTGCGGTCAACCAGCCATCCTGGCCTTCCAATGAGAGATCGCCATATTTGAAGATACCTTGTTCTTTACATCCTTGGGGTGCAGCAGGAATGAGTGAACTGGGAGAGAAAAAAAATGCCAAAGAGGCCGATCTTGGAACCCCCCTTTTTTGGTTTTGTTTTTTTTGACAGAATACACATCTCGCCCAAGCGCCACAGCCCATCATGGTCCGCCAGAGACTGGCCCACATGAACTGCGGGAAGAGGGCTAGACCCAGAGGCTGGGCCGAGGAGAGGAGAGTAGGTACCTGCCTATACAAGCACACCTGGGCATATCGAAACGGCGATACGGTAGCGATGATATTCGCAAACGCCACCATCGCCGATTTAGCGTGTTGACGAAGATTCCACGCATGGACAGCCGAGGCCTGCGCAGATCATCGGCGTCTTGTATACAAGGTTGAGACTGAATGTTGACTCCACGAATCCGACCCCAACCCCAACTCCAGAACACACAACGCCGCGAGGTGGTTGGCAGAGTGAGGTTTGCGGCATATATGATGCAAGTCAAGAAACTGTATGTCCCGGGGGAGGCTTGTTGGAAACGGACAAGGCACCTACCACTTCGGCACGGATTACAACACAAGTCTTGGTCATCTTTAGGCCCTTCCTCTTAGTGCTTGTCACAGCAATGGTGCCACAAGCCCGGCAGATCAGCAGCCCCGTGGCGGACTGTCCAACCCCTAGTAACCGTCTAGGCGGGGACCTAGATCGCCAGTGCAGTACGGAGGTGTGAGGGTTAAATAATCTGCAGTGGGGAGGTCACTCGTGAAGCGAGGGCAGGGGCCAGGGGTATGCACTAGCC